ACACACACACACACACACACACACACACACACACACACACACACACAGAGAGCTGGTGCCCCAGTTGGGATTCAAATCCAGGAGCCTAGAGATATTCTGAAGATGAATTAGCTGTAGCTCTGAAATACTAGGAGCTCAATTCAATTGAACAAACATTTATTAAGCACCTGCTGTGTACTGGGACCTTCAATAGCTCTGAGAGGGGTAAGGAGGTCTGAAAAAAGAGCCATGCTAGCAGTCCCTTTCCGTCCTCAGGGAGCTTACACACAAGTAGGGTGTGTATCTCTAATACAAATAGAAATAACTAGCATTTATAAAGCACTTTATAAATATTATCTCCTTTTATCCTCATGACAACCCTGGGATCTAGATGCTATTATTTAATATCTCCATTTTACAGATAAGGAAACTGAGACATGTTAAATGACTTGCCCAAGGTCACACAACTAGTAAATGTCTTAGGCTGGATTTGAATTTGGGCACTGTGTCACAGTTTACAAAACATTTTCTCTACAAAGGTGACAAGTATTTTTATCTCCATTTCATCAATGGGTATGCTGAGGTTCAGAGGAGTTAATAACTCCTGTCTTCCAAAAACCACTATTCTTTATTCTACACCAGGATGGAAATGAGAGATACAAGCAAGGTACTAAGCAAAGTTTGAGAAGGGAATCCACCAAGGAGTAGTAGGAATGGGATCAGGGAAGGCTTTATGGAAGCAGAGGCATTTGAGTTGGACTTTAAAGAACAGATAGAAATTAAATGGCCAGGAGGGGAGAGGAATTCTAAGCACTGGGGAACAGCTTTGGACTCTTTGAAAAGAAGTGAATTGTTCAAATCACTAACTTGAAATCATTTCTGTCTACAAATATTTACTAAACTCCACCTTTGTGCCAAGTTATGTGCAGGTGAGGCACTAACTGGGAATACAAAGACAAAGAAGCCCCTACTCTCAAGGAGATTACAATTTAAAGATCCTAGAGTGGTTTGCCATTTCCTTCTCCAGCTCATTTTACAGATGAGGAAACTGAGTCAAACAAGGTGAAGTGACTTGCCTAGGGTCACACAATCTAGTAAGTGTCTGAGGCCAGATTTGAACTTGGGTCTTTCTGACTACAGGGGGTGGGGTGGAGTGTGTGTGTGTGTGTACACCTATACATATATGTAGAGATGTATACATACATATATACACTTATATAGTGGTATGTGTAGGCACATGTTTACATACAAATGTATACACACAGAGATATACATATATATATATACATACATATACACACATATGTACAAACACACACAACGTTTCCATCCCCCACCCCTAGGCAGCATGGTCTACTGGTCCCTGGATTTAGAGTGAGGAAGATATGGGCTCCAATCTCATCTCAGACACTTAATACCTCTCTGTGCTTCAGTCTTCTCATCTATAAAAAGAGGGGCTTGACCTCGATGGGCTCTCAAGGTCCTTTCCAAGCTCTAAATCTATGATGCATTTGATTCTCTGAAAGAAGAGGGAGTTCTTTCGGGGGACAGTTGGTCTCCATGTCCCTAAGTCTCTCCTACAATATTTCCCCCCCAGTCTTCTCTCTGGCACATTGAGTTTCCCCAAGAAGTTTATTACCTTCCAGATGGCTTACTAAGCTGCATAGATATCGTGGGCGGATCAAACTGAGCTAGAATCCTTCCAGCTCTCTCCGTGGAATCAAACCCTCCACTGAGATCCCCGGAACACAGGCGGGCAGAGTTGGTCCCAGGTCAGAGGTTACTGACCCTGCAGAAGATTTAGGCTGTGATTTGGTCCCTGTCTGGGTCACCTCACTTTCTTTCCTTTTGAAAAAGAATTCCCTGGGGTTTGTGGACTCCGAGTCAGTCCAATTCCATTGCAAATGTTCCCAGCTCCAGCAGAGCTAATACTGAAGGGTGGTGGGAGGGATTAGTTTTATGCTTTTCTCTTAGAGTTAACCTGAGCACAATTTGGGGGAGGCCATGAAAATGCCCCTCTCCCACAGTCTTCTTTGGCTTTGGGATTTTGTGATTTCTGGACAGGCCATCCAGGGTCCAGAAAGGGGCCCAGTCTAACTTTGCAGGGTAGAAAGGGGAGAAAAAGAAAGAAAAATCAAGTCTTAGGGAGGCCAGCCTCTCTCCCAGTCACTCTGAAAGCCTGAAAGGGAAGAGGAAGAGGAAGGGGGAGGGGACAGGCCATGGCTAAGGCCCAGCTTCAGGTGTCTGTCGGTGTGTGGGTCCAGCCTTCCCCCACCCCCAGCCCAGTGAGAAATCCAAGCGCCTAATAACAGAGTCCAAGTTGAGAAAAAATAAAATGAATTAAGTTTGGGTCAGCCAAACCTGCCTCAGCTTTCCGGGAGATGGTAGCTGCTACTTCTTGTGTAAATGTTATTTACTGGGCCCCTAGAGGCAAGAGAACTTTGCCCTGTGTTTACCAAAATGCAGTTTTTACCTTGGAATAGCAGCTTAACACCCTTATAAGGCCAAACAACCTGCTCTTCTGTCTGCCCTGGATTCTGAACACTGAGCCTGCTTTCCTGACGTTACCTTTGTCTTCACCACTGTATCTCGTGGTCCATAAATGAATGGGGGATTGTGGATGTGTGGACACACACCCATACACACCACATACACAATTATAACCACTTTTTTGAAGCCAAATATTTTCTTTTAAAGAACTATGGCTCTATTTCTCAAGTCTTAAACCCGGTCCTTTGCACCTGGCAACTTTAGCCCCTCCTCAAACTCCACTTGGGCATATACATACCTTTACGTTAAATCCCCCGAAATTCACAGCTTGGCGCCCCCCACCCCCCATATAAAAAGAAAATCGACGTTATGTCCAATTATCCTAGGAGATAGGAAAACATGCACTTTTCGGGAGAATCAGAATTGAAGGGACAGCGTAGAGGGGTGGAAAAGTGAGTGAATGTAAGAGGCCGGCGGCAAAGATCAGTCTGATCTCCAAGCTCGCGAATGATAAGATTTTGGCACAGCGGAGAGAGAGAGCTTTTGGAAATCTCCAGGTTCCGCTCCCAGCACCGGGTCCGGCTTGGGAAACCAGAACAACAGCATATGCAAACAGCAATGTTCAGGGTGTGATTACAAACCGACCTCGGGCAGAAGAATTCCAAGTTGGGAGAATGACTCATAGGCACTATTGTTGGTGGGAGCTGGAGAGGGGAGTCCTCTTTGGGATTTTTGCATTTCCTGGCACCGGCTGGGGTGGGTCTGAGCCTTTCACCATCACATTAAAGGCATCTCTATAGAAAACTCTCAGGGTTCATCCTAGGGTGCACAAATTAAATAAAAAAAGAAAGCATGTCTACATCTCCCCTCCCCTGCCCAGAACAAGGGCCCAACAATAGCCTGATGAGGTGAAGGGGGTTTGAATTTAATATCAGGTCATTTTTCTTTCTACCTCCAAACAAGGCTGGAAAAAAGCACAAACACACACACAGACATGCTCTAAAACAAGCTTTCCTTCCATCCATGTTTTGTTATGAATCAGCCCTGCATTGCTATGGCACTGATATTCAGAGCTTCAGACCAAGCAATAAAGGGTTGCAGCCAGAGGAGCGCCCATAGAGAGCAAAAGCTGAAAAAACTCTCCCTCCCTCTTTCTCTCCTTTTTTTTTTTTTTGCAAAAGGAGGAGAGAAGAAAAAAAATGCTGCAATGTGCAAAGAGGATCGTGAGTGAGCGACCCCGGGCCAATCAGAGCGCGCCGTTCCGAAAGTTACCTTTTATGGCTCGAGCGGTGGAGCTCGCGCGCCCCATAAAACCCGGAGCGCGAGCGCGCTGGAGTAGCTGTGAGCTCTTCCACCCAGCGTGCACTTGCCTAACCCCTGCCTCCAGGTGCGGTACCACCTCCTCTCTCTCTTAAGGGTTTAAACTTGCCACTTCAAAGGTAAGAGCCTGCGAGAACCTTCTCTCATCCTTTCCTCGCCCTTAATTTCTTTTGGACACGCGTTTCTTTTTACCTTTCGTTTCCAAAACCTTTCAAAGGTGGAATGGAGTGGCAGGCATTTATTTCCGCCTGTAAGATTTTTCTAGGGAAATGCATTTTCTTGGTAGGGAGTGGGGGGGGGAGAAACTTGCAAAAACTAGCAGGATTCTTTGGGCCTCGAAACCCCGTGGTGGCTATTCTTAGTCCTTTATTCTCATTCAGGCAATCACTTCGTTGCTCAGCCATCGCCCCTCGGTCATGGGCATAGGTGTGTGGGTGTGCATTTGGGCAGATGGCTCCAGCGTTTGGGGAAGTTGGGTTTGGGTGGTGAAGAGCTTTTCTTGGCGGGCCTTGCATAGTAAATGCCGCCTGCTTTCGTAATCGGGTTGTTCTGCCTTCAGCTGGGTAAGAGGATTTGAGCTGAGCGTTTGCAATCATGGGGTCTGGCGGGCCCAGGATGATTATTCCTCAATAATGGGGAAGGCTTTATCCGGTTGGCGTAGATTGACTAAGGTTGGGGCTTGAACCCCATCCAACCGGCTGAGCGAGGGCGCCTCTAGGCGGGGGTGGGTTGGAAGAAGTTGTAAAGGGCGGGGGCGGCGGGAAAAAAGGAACCCAGGCATGGGGGGGGTGGGGGAGAGCGTTAACTGCCTCGGCTGCGGGAGTGAGCTCTCCAGGGTGTGACCTGAGCTTTGGGCTTCCGCCTCCTTTATTGTAGTAGCCCATGCTTTGCAGGAGGCATGGAAGGCGGTGGGCATCGTGCCTTATGGGGGGGAAGAGGAGGTTCCGGTTCCTCCCTCCACTTTTCATTCAAAGGCGGGGGAATGAATTAAGGGTCTTTGTCTCAGTCTGGGCCCTGTAGTGGCCGGGCCCGGGAAGGGCGTGGGGTGGATTAACAGGTTATGGGGCGGAAGCTACAAAGTGTAGGGGGTGGGGACAGCCCTGGTAGCGCCTGGCTCCATGGGAGTGGGAGTGCCTAATGTCCACTAAGGGAGGAGTGGGGGAGGAAGTGGGGTACCTAGGGTGTTTTGCAGCCGACTCACCATGCTAGTGCGGGTTTGCAGAGAAGAAAAAATCGTTACTTTTTGCAAACCAAGCACCAAGGCTGCTGCTGTGATTATTGCATCCATTCCCTAAAAGGGAATTTTGGGGGGGGGGGAGTGTCATTTTAAACAGTATCTTGATTTTTAAGTTTACCTGATGCTGTGAGGCATCTTTTTTCCTAAACAACCTTTAATGCATTAAGGGGTGAGGGGGAAAAAGGTGTTTACAAAACAACGGCCTAGTGATTGGAGAGACTTGGCTTAAGCAAGCCTTAATTGGCTTTGAATGAGTCCCCACTTTTCCTGAGGCTTGATTTCCCAGATCTGGGTGGGGACCTACCCAGGATGAGTTCCTTCTCTAAATCTCAGGGGGATGGGGGTATGTGAGCAACTTCCCCTTTTGAACTTGTGCTCGAGCCAAGCGCCAGGAGCGCACAGGTCTCCAGGAGCCGCTTGCATAAGCGTGGATCCAGACCCATCCCTGCTGCTAACGTCTGGCAGGGGTGGGTGGGGTAGGGAGTGGAGACTGATCTGGGTGTGGCCACACACCATGCCTCATTTTGAAAAAGGCCAGGGGGAGGAGGGAGCAAGGGGGAGTGGCTTCTTTTTAATCAAGTCTCCCTTTAAAAGAAGGGTGGGGGGGAGGAGAAACCTGGCTTCCTGCCGCACCACTGACTTCTGCAAAGCTGCCTCTCTTACCATTGCCTTTTATGGTAATAATGAGAGGCGAGAGAGCTGGGACTTCCTTTGTCCCAAATCTCCAAGGCAAAAAATGCAAGCGGCCACTCCCCCTAGCGGCCAAAGGGGAGTGGTGCATTCAATTATTGACAGGAAGCTGAGAAGGAAACGGGGTGGGGAGTGGTCCCTCCAGTTTGCTTGGTCATCACCATATGCCTCACCCTTAGCATCTCTAAGGATGGGATGAAGGAGCCTGCACTAAGCCTGGTGGTACCTTAGCTTCTTGGCTGCTACCCTGTAAATGTGGTGTGCCATTTTTTTTTTTCCATTTTAAAAAGACCAAACAGTATTTGAACTTGGATTAAAATCGTAAAACCCATCTCCTTCTCTTTTCTCAACAGTTCGCCATGGATGATGATATTGCTGCTCTCGTTGTAGACAATGGCTCTGGAATGTGCAAAGCTGGCTTTGCAGGAGACGATGCCCCTAGGGCTGTCTTCCCTTCCATTGTTGGGCGCCCCAGACATCAGGTATACATAATGTGGTATTTTGGAAGAGATTTGCCAACCATCTTAAACCAGCTTGCTGGCTGATTGGAATGATAGTGGTGAATATTGGAAGGGGGTGACTAATAGCAAATAGTACTGGAGGGATTTTCTTTCCAAGGAACCTAGAATATTTGTGAAAAAGGACTGTGATAACATTAAATAAAATGCTTAGGCATAGTATAGAAATCGACAGATCAGGTGGCATTAACCTGAGCCCAATTTGAAAACTTAAATGTGACTATAAAACTGAGAACTTTGAGAATTAACCTGGAATAAGGCTTTTTTTTTTTTTTTTTTTTTTTTTATAAGCACTTTTTATCTTAAAAAACTGCAACTCTTTTAAGAGCGTCCGTCCTCAGTGGCTGTATGGATTTGGGCAAATCATTTTTAACTTGAGATTTTTAGTTCTAATTTTATCTGTAAAATGAGAGGTGTGAACTGACATAAGTTCCAGCTCAAAAAATCTAGAACCCGCAAATCCAAATTATGAAGGTTTGTTTCTGGTAGGGTAAAACTGACCGTTTTCATTCCTTCCTCTGCAGGGTGTGATGGTGGGTATGGGCCAGAAAGACAGCTATGTGGGGGATGAGGCCCAGAGCAAGAGAGGTATTCTGACCCTGAAGTACCCCATTGAACATGGTATTGTCACCAACTGGGATGACATGGAGAAGATCTGGCATCATACTTTCTACAATGAGCTCCGTGTGGCCCCTGAAGAGCACCCTGTGCTGCTTACAGAAGCCCCCCTGAACCCCAAAGCCAACAGAGAAAAGATGACTCAGGTCTGTGGACTTCTTAGGGTACCAAAGTTTTGAGCGCTGCAGCTTCATCCATTTATTATTCTTTTATACCCTGCTTCACTTTTCTTTTCTCTTCCCTTTTTTTTTCTTTGCCATTATCTATAGGGTTTTCCTTCTCTGACCTGAGTCTTCTCTTTGGATTATCTACAGGTTCTGTTTGCTTTTTCTGATCTGGCTTTTTTTTTTAAATTTTCACTAGCAATTTGAATTGTTTGTCTAAGTACTAACAGTTCACTTGTCTTGGGTGACTTCTAAAAATCTAAACTTCCAACTATCTTGTCATACGCTGGTATATCTATGTAAGATAACAATGTGTGGGTCTTAGACCAACAGTTTAAAAGTTTTAAAATGTTTTTTTTTTTTGACTGCAGGCTATTTAAAAACCTACAAATGTGTTAACACACCTGCATGATTTTCATAGCCTTGTTTTATAAATTAGGGAGAGATTAATCCACTCACTTGACTGCCTTATTCTCTATTTGCAGATTATGTTTGAGACCTTCAACACCCCAGCCATGTACGTTGCCATCCAGGCTGTGCTGTCCCTGTATGCCTCTGGTCGTACCACTGGTATTGTGATGGACTCCGGTGATGGCGTGACCCACACTGTGCCCATCTATGAAGGTTATGCCCTTCCCCATGCCATCCTCCGTCTGGATCTGGCTGGCCGTGATCTGACGGACTACCTCATGAAGATCCTGACCGAGAGAGGGTACAGTTTCACTACCACAGCTGAGAGGGAAATTGTGCGTGACATCAAGGAGAAGCTGTGTTATGTCGCCTTAGACTTTGAGCAGGAGATGGCCACTGCTGCGTCTAGCTCCTCTCTGGAAAAGAGCTATGAGCTTCCCGATGGTCAGGTCATCACCATTGGCAACGAGAGGTTCCGATGCCCAGAAGCTCTCTTCCAGCCATCTTTCTTAGGTAAGCGTTTTCCCTTTTTAAACAGCCGCCATCTACTTCAGGAATAATGGGTCACAGGAAGTAGTGTGTTTTTAGACTAGAAGTAATTTGCTTCTTCCCTCCCCCCTCCTCCTTTTCCTTCTCTACCTAGGTATGGAATCCTGTGGAATCCATGAAACTACCTTCAACTCAATCATGAAGTGTGATGTTGACATCCGTAAGGATTTGTATGCCAACACCGTATTGTCTGGTGGTACTACCATGTATCCCGGCATTGCTGACAGGATGCAGAAGGAGATTACAGCCCTAGCTCCCAGCACAATGAAAATCAAGGTGAGTTTGTGGGAAACTGCTCCAGGATAGTGCCTAGTATTTAATAAATGCTTTAATATCTATGTTTGAAGGATTATTTTGTTAGGTCACAAAATTTGGGGTTGCCAGACTCGTTCCTTGTTTGCCTCCCCCTACCATATTCCGGGCATTGTCCTTAGGGGGTTTTAATTGGCTTGTTCAGACTTGATACCTGTCATGGAGTGACTTGGTTGTAATGGGAGCTAACTTGGTGCCCCTCCCCCATTTTTTTTCCCCTCTGTAGATCATTGCCCCACCTGAGCGTAAATATTCTGTCTGGATTGGAGGCTCCATCCTGGCGTCTCTTTCCACCTTCCAGCAGATGTGGATCAGCAAGCAGGAGTATGACGAATCTGGGCCTTCCATTGTCCACCGCAAATGCTTCTAAATGGACTGTTTGTGTGTTGTTTTTTTTTTTTTCTTTTTTTTTTTTTTTGTAAAGGGGTGTGTCTTTTTTTTTTTTTTAAAAAAGCCATGTCATTCTCATCTCTTTTTTTTGGCGCTTGACTCAGGATTTAAAAACTGGAACGGTGAAGGTGATGAGCAGTCTGAGTATGTTGGAGGCAAACATCCCCAAAGTTCTACAGTGCGTCTTCAGGACTCTGATTGTACATTTGTTATTTTTTTTTTAAATAAGCATTCCAAATATTGTGTGATCCATTGTTACAGAGTTACAAGCCTCTATGAAGGCTGTTCTCTGCTAGAGCAAAGGAGCTAAGTAACAAATCCAGATGGGGAGGGGGGAGGGGGGAAGGTACTAGTATTGCTTTACGTGTAAATTATGTAATCCTTTAAAAAAAACTTTTTGTATCTTCCGCCTTAATACTTGTTCCTTTTTTTTAATTGTCAGCCATAATGAATGGCCCCCTAAATTCCCTCCCTGCCCCCAACATAGATGTGAATGAAGACTTTACAGTCTCCCTGCAAGTTTTATGAGATTGATGCCAGTACTTGGGGGAGGGGAGGAGCTTTACCTGTACACTGACTTAAGACCAGTTCAAATAAAAGTGCACACGTTAAAGAAACTTTTGGCCAGTTGTGTTAATGTGCTTTGCATGTCTTTTTCTCGTTTGCACTTTCAGTCTTGGCTAGATAGCCAAACCAGCTTGCTTTTTCAGTTGAATGGGAAAATTTTGGCTCATAGTTTACTCAATTTTTTTCTAAAGTTTTCTTAAGATTTTTCTTTAATGTAGCTCAAATACCTGGTGGTACTTACTGGGGGTAGGTAGTCAAGATTCATGAGCCATCTTCATAGCCTTGAGTAGAAGATGGCCAGCAATTAACAGTCAAGCCATCAGCCTGGTCTATTTTTCTTTCTAAATCTTCACAAACTTGTTCCCCACCAAAAGGGCTGAGGAAGATCGTCTCCAGTAGCTTAGCAGAAAGCATTGGATCCTTCAAGGAACCTGAGACCTGTCTCAGTCTACCTCACACCCCCTTCCTACTGTCCTTTTTTATGGGGAAAAAAATCTTAAGGTATGTGTAATATAGCAAGGGTTTGAACCATGTTTTCCTGAGAGTATCTCAAGCTATGCCCATACTACCACCCCTTTGCCACTGGTAACCATAATCATGGGTAATACTGGGCCTCTAAGTTTATGACATATTTAAATTGGTAATGACTGACTAATGAGCAAAGGCAAGAGCTTGCCTTCACATAAGCATTAGTGATAAAGAGTATTTGGGGAGAAGTAAAAAGATGAAATCTTCTCAAAGTGCTTGTGAGCTGTAATTACTGTGACACCTTTTGAATGGGGAAGGGGAGGGAGTTTGGGTAGGCGATTGGTACCCACGTACCTGGGGAGGGCGGGCGGCTGGGGTTTTCAGTACCCCTCTGAGAATGTTACCTTAACATAAATCCAAGCATGAAAGGATACATTAGCTTTTTAGGAAATACCAGAGTGTTGACATTTGTTTTGATCTGTAACGGTTGGTTCCTACCCCCGTGAGCCATTTGTGGCAGACATCCATTTGGGGAAGAGCAGAATGGGAAGGTAATAATCATACATCTGGAAGAGATCTTAGAGGCATAAGTAATTTATACAGGTTTTCGTAGGTAGTGAGATTCTGAGGCAAGATTTGAATTGGAGTCTGAATTCCAAGTCCAGTGCCCTATCCCGTATGCCATACACCCTGTACTTTTTGAGGATGGATTTTGTAGCTCTGCATCAGTTCTTGTTTATCTTGAGGAGGGAGGAAGAAAGGACAGAAGAGTTGTAATGAAAATCAATAAGCACCCAGACAAATTGCTTCCTCTCCCTGGCTTTATTCTATGAGGGAACTGGGATTTCCACAGTCCTTTGCAGCTCTAAATTTGATTTTTTTTCTTACTGACTTGGCTTTGGGGCAATAAGTGAGTCACCCTGTGGGCTGACTTGTTATGATTGGTTTTTAAAATTCACATTTATCAATGTTCACAAAAGGTTACAGAGGTGGTAAGCCAGCAGAGACCTCAGGCCATCCAGTTTAAAACTAATTTTACAGTTGAAACGGCTTCAGGGAGGTAAAGGACTTTCCCCAGGATCACAAAGGATGGAGCATTCTGATTCTAGAGCCATCTTTTGCTTTGCCATTCTCCAAACAAGCCATCCCTTAATAAAAATAAAAAGCAAAACCAAATGACAAGCTAACTGTGGATGACTCTGGTGTGCTGCGCCAAGCTCTTGGCCCACCCTCCTCACTCTCACCTTCTTAACCTCCATCTCTTTAAGGAAGAGAAGTTTACTTCTGAAGGACCACCCATGGCCATTTCCTCTTTGCCTCAGGGCCCAAACTAAGACGTGGCACAAGGCAGGGCTGAGTTCTTTGCAAGAAGACAGCAAATGGAGATACAAGGTGGCTTGGAATTTGGCTAGTCTCACTTTATCCAACAATGTGAAACTTAGAAAATATTCCTACTCCTGTCCCTATTCTTCCCTGCTTCCTGCATGCATGCCTATAATTTTGGTGGGTTGGTTTTTTTTTGTTCTGTTTTGGCTAAAGCAGGATATTATTTGTACCCTGCCTTGCAAACAATTTGTGTTGTCAGCTCAGCAGTATTTGCAATCATTGGTGGTTTTTTTTAAAGGTGTATTATGTTTCTGTTAAACATTTCTCAATTCTGTTCTTTTCATGCGAAATATTTCTATATTAGCCATGCAGACCTGTGGTTAAGGAGCAATAATAACTGATGATTTTATAGGAGATTTCTTACTTCCCAAAGCAAAGAAAAATATACCAAAATCATCCTATGAGTCAAACTCCCTCTTAGTTTTAAGTTTCAAGAACTTGTAAGTGGATATGTAAGTATATGTAGTGTGGCATAATGGTAAGGGCACTGGTCCTAGCATAGGAAAGAACTGTGTTCAAGCCTGCCTCATACCTTAACTGTGTAACCTCGGGCAAGATCACCTTACTCCCTTGAGGTTCACTTTCTTCAGAAAAGTGAAAGGGATGTCATTACGTAAGAGCCTTTTAAGTCTTCTAGCTCTAAATCTATTAATCCTATAAGTATGTATTCAAATAAAGATTAGTCAGTTCTAAGCCACATCTTTTTGTTATGTATTTTTTTTAAACATTTATTTTTTTAAAATTCTGAGTTTTAAATTTTCTCACTCCCTCCAGCCTCTCCTCTATTCATTGAGAAGGCAACCAATATTTTTTTGTTATATATTTTCAAGAAATTATTAGTCCCATGCTAGATTCCCCCATTGTTCAGCTCACTTCTGGGACATCTACATAAGTCGTGATTGCAGTATCTCAACTTTCCATTTCATCTCTTAAAGTTCACAGAGCACTTGGCCTCCCAATCACACTGTGAAGCACGATCTTGTTTAGTCACTTCAGTCCTGTCGACTCTTTCGTGACCTTGATCCCATTTGGGGTTTTCTTGGCAAAGAAAATGGAGTAGTTGGGCATTCTTTCTCCAGCTCATTTTACAGATGAGGAAACTGAGGCACACAAGATTAAGTGACTTTCCCAGAGTCTCAGCTAGGAAATGTCTCAGGCAGAATTTGAGCTCACATCTTCCTGACTCCAGGCCCAGTGCTATATCCACAGCGCCACCTAGCTGCCACTGAAGCAAGTACTACAAGTAATAGCATGCCTGTTTTACAGATGAGGAGACAGGCCCACAGAAGGGGATAGATACTGCTTGCCCAAGTTTCACATAGCCTAGTGAGTGGCAGAGCCAGATTCTCAGGCCTCCTCTTAGTTGATGGGAACACAGATAGAACCTGAGTCTCAGGGGATACTTTTTAAAAAGGCAGAACATCATTATGAATGACTTCTGGAAAACAACAACAAGTCAATGTGTTCCAAAGCCAAATAAAAGAGTTTGGGGTTATAGAGGTCACTTCTGTTCTAGCATTATTCTAGGATAACCATAGTTTAAACTGGCAAGGACTCTAGAGGTCACACAGTCCACTTTCCATCCTACGGATGAGGACCTAAGAAGAGAAATGCTTTGCCTAAGTTAAGTCAACAAACATTTATTAAGCACTTGCTGTATGCCAGGCACTGTATGTACAGGCAGAAAAGGGCAGAACCAGCATGCCATGCTGTAAGAACTGAATGTAAATCTTTGGTACATTTGTTTTTGAGGAAAAAAAAAACTAGTTAATAAAACAACCATTTCCCATAGTTTAATCTCTCAGTTGACATTCATCTTTTGGAAGCATCTACATAAAAATCTAAAGTAAACAGAGACTAATAAAAACCTTGCTGGTCAAGAAGCCATTACCTCAATTACTATTTCAGGGGAACTGTGTTTGCCCTGGTGTGTCCATCATTTTAAGAGCCTTGTGTGAGCATGGCTGAATGATATCACCTGAGCCTCAGGTTTCCTGTACCAAAAACGGTGATACTTGAACTGTTTACCTCACAGGGCGGCTGTAAGCAACCAAGGAACAAATGAGTATTTTTGTTTTTAAATGTCCTCTTTTGTTTTTATATCTCCTTCATTTCCTCCCAATGTATCCTCTTCCCCCTCCCAAAGAACCATCCCTTATAACAAAGAATAAGAAAAGGGGAAAGAACCATCGAGCCAAACTATGCAGCTGTCAAACCAAATAATCCTCTGCTTCTTCATAACCCAGGTAGGGTGACATCATCGGCACTGCTCCGCCTGCAGAGTGCCCTAACAAGAGAGGAGGTACATTCTCACATCTCTTCTGTGTGTTCAAGCTTGGGCATTATGAAAACAATTCAAGGTTATTGTTTTTTTCTTTTTTTTTTCTAACAAGTAGTCACAAAGCATGTACCATGTGCCACGCAGTGTGGTAGGCCCTGAAGATACAGATATGAAAGTGAGGCAGTCCCTCCCCTCCTTAAGGACCTTATATTTTCCTGGGAGGATACAACATGTTCACAGGTAAGTACCTCCGTTCCCCAGAGGATACACAATTACTGGAGAAGAAACTAAATTATAGATTGTAAGAGCTATTTAAGTGTGAGCAGTGGCTCACACTTA